TGCAAGCCCCCCCCCCCCCCACCCCCCCCCAGGTAAAAATTCCGGCTTTTCTTGAGCGTTAGGTCTTGCGAAACACAGGGCTCTTCATTTTGCTGACTCAGCAGGTGAGCGCCCCATCGCACCGGGGAGTCTCCCGAGGACCCCCAAATCTGCATCTCCATCTCTTGTGCCTCTTTGGCTGCCCCGAGCCCTGAGAGAGCCTGGGGGCAGAGGGGGGGTGAAGCCAAACGGGGTAGAGATGTCACAGCTCAGCCCTCCGGGGCGGCTTTAGAGCAGGATTAGCCCCTGCGAGGTTCGGCTCTGCCTCCGCCTCCCGGAGGTTTCCACCCCAAAGGGAGGGCTCCGCGCAGGCTCCCATCGCCGGAGGCAGCACCCAAAGGACCAACCCGTGCCCTAAAACCATTTGGGCCGGTGGCGTTCGGGCGCTGAGCGCTCCGTCGTCGCAGGCGCAGCATCGGGCTCCCCCACTAAACCTCCCCGTGCATTCAGGGACCGAGTGACGCAGGGCGAGCGGGTGCGGGAGGAGATGCTTTTCCATTTTAACCGGCTGGGTTGGTTTGATGTGTGACGAGAACTAACCAGTCTCGGCGGCCGGGGAGGGGGGAGCTTAACAACCGCCTCGTTCGCTGCAGAGGCCTCGGCGTGGCTTCGGCGTTTGGTGTTTGTAATCGCTTTTAATGACAGCAGAGATGGTCGAGGTTTGGCTGGTGTGTGCATCTCCCCCCGCCCTCCCCCGGATTTGATGTGCGGTTGTGTCCTCCTTGGGGTGATGTCGGGGGGACACGGACGGACCTGGGACCGCTCAGCTGGTGGCCCGGCTGCGCGTCTCGGCGTCGGCCCGAGGCTTGTTTGAAGGTGCAATGGGATAAATAACAGATGAAAAGAAAAACTCCGCTCTCCGGTTGGTGTGTCCACCTCCCGGCTTTATCACGGCGTTGCTTCAGAGGCGATGCACGGTGGCGGTGGGGGCGGTTGGTTTAGCTTTTCCTTTCCCTTCCCGGGAACGTGCACGCAGGCAGACGCCTTTGCAGTGATTTATTACACAACGCTGCACGTGCGGCGCCCGAGAAACCGTCCTCCTCCCCGGTTTGCAGCCGTGCAGGGGCCGAGCGGAGGGAGGGCTCTGCGTTACAGCCCTCCC